GGGGGAGGGGGGAGAGTGGTCCTCCCAAGGCTCAAGCGGCCGAGGTGCCATTTCAATCTTCAAGCTCGATAATCTTTACTACTGATGCATCACCAACTTTCTGGCAAACCACTACGCGGTCATGTGCCTTAATGATTCCTGCTAACTTTCCATGATCTAGAGCAGCCTTCAGAACTGACTCATTTGTTGCATTGTTAGAGTCCGCCTACAAAGCAAGAAAAGTAATCAGTTTATTAATACAATAGTACGATCATCTGATCAAAATGCTGATCTAGCACGACTTGTTATCCAAGAAGTTCAGCACTGTTTTTACTTTAACAGGAGTTCATCATAACTCGCAAATCAATGGTAATTCTGCCATATCCTCAGCAAGAAAAATAATTAGAATTTCAGCTAAAAACGTCTCACAGCACTGAGACAAACACAATCGCATAATAACATGTACAAAAAGCAGCCTTTATGGATCGGAAAGCGAAGAAGAAAAGGGGTTTCTTGCGGAAGCCCGACTATGAGAAAGACTATGACAAAGTGGGTTGATCTTATATAGATGTAAGGTTTCGGCTTGAAAAACCATAGAAATAGTTATAGTACCAACTAATAGGTTGAATCTCAACCATTATTAATTTATTTATGAACATGTTTTACGTTATAAGTTTTATATAATTATTATTCTACACTATCGTATAATTTGTAATATATTACATAGTACATATTTAAATTTAACAAAAGTAAACTAATTTTACAACATGAATTCTGTATTTATCAAAGTTTTATCTTTATTATTGTAATTCTGGCTTTCAAAATTTGTATACAGTGAACATAAATAATGTTATTTTCAGAGTTTCATCTAATTGAATCACATAATTTAAAAGAAAAAACATGTAAAAAGGTGGATTTTAGAAAAAGAATTTGATAAGCATCTCCTAATTAAGGGGTTGATCATGGATTTATAAGTAAGGAATAGAACTCCATTTGTATGAGGCCTTTTGGAGAAACCAAAAATAAAAGTATGAGAGTTTATGCTCAAAGTGGACGATATCATACCATTGTAGAGGTTCGTGATTTCTAACATAATTTTCGACAAAGAAGACAATGGCAGGTTGGACTTCGTTAATAGAAAGACTTGGGACCAGAAAAAGACAATGTGCTGCGGAAACTTGACCCCCTTGAACGAATTCACCTAAAAGTCTGCCTTTTTTAACCTCACAGAACCTAGGCCTTCTTTGAAGTCCCCTTATCAACTATATTTGGAAATTCATATTCCTAGAAAGGTGAACGTTTAGCTTTGGTCCTTAACTCATAGGGGCGTTAATAAGGATGGGTGATGTTTCTGTCATTGTGCTGCTTGTGTTTCAACAGTGAAGAATCTTTGAATCATATTTTCCTACACTGTCAGTTTGTGTCGAAAGGCTGGGCTTTTTTCCTAAAGTTGTCTGTTTGGGCTTCCTGATTTTTTCACCCTCGCGTGCGGATGATTGGCTAGAGGTTCTTAACGGGGGATGGTTTAAAGGCCTGGCCAGATTGTTATGATGCTACACAGTTTGTGCACTTTGGTGGGGCCGTTGGTGGAAGAGAAATCACAGGACTTTTGAAGTTAAGTTTGTTATGTATCTCAGCTTCTGGGTGGTGCTAAAGAAGCAGCAGTCTTTTGTGTTTATCCCCTCTCCATAATCCTTCAAGATTGGAAGGTTTTCTTGTGAGTAGATCCTTTTGGAGATGGTTATCTCTTTCCCTGCCCCTAGGCTGTCCTTTTGTTTCTTTCTCCATACATGTTTTCAGGTTTCTTATTACAAAAATAATACAAACCTGAATGACTACATTCCACCACATCCAAACGTATACCCAAAACATAACTCATTTTGGAGAAGAAACTATCAACAAAGACGTTCCTCATCTTTGAAATCAGCCATGTTATCTAACCAACCTAAGATAAGCAATATAAATCCTTTGGAAATTGAATAGAAAGAGTATAACTCACTAGGTGTTGAGGATCGGCGAGCACAGGGAAAAGACCTCTGCTTATTAATGATTGTCGAGCCTGAAATTGAAGAATCAGTTTCTGATTTCAGCACTTGGTTAATAATAAAAACAATAATAATAATCACTATCAATGAGTGTAACTATCATTTGATTATCAATGATCGCTCCTACAACATGGTAATGATTTTTCCAAAGTATTGGAAGCTTTTAATTAGATGGGTTTGAGCATTTTGTAGCTTAGTTTGAGTGTTTTTTTTTTTTTTTTTTTTTTTTTTTTTTTTTTTTTTTTTTTTTTTTTTTTTTTTTTTTTTT